AAGAGGTATTATTAGAATATTTAGGCAGGAGTTATAAATGATTACTTACTAGTATGATGTTACTGGTGGAGGAATAATTAATCAGAATGTACTAATTAGCTCATAACCATTTACTGTGTAACACTGCCTTCCTGCTCGTAAAATTGCATCAAAAGGCAAAACCAGAAATATCAACTCCTAAGAGACCTAAGTAGCCCACTAATATGGATTCTGTTTCCTTCAACAGGAACTGAACAATGTTGACTCACAGTCAGTGTATATGGACAGTTTTCACTGAATGTCATCCACAACTTGTTTCAGAAACTGAGGATTCTTTCTAAATGTCACTGGAAAAGGACTTTGCAACAGCATTTTGTATGCAACACATGATAGCAGCCACAGGTTAGCACCTGACTTGCTTACAACCACAGAGCTCGACAGCACTCTAACGTATTCCAGCCCGTCTTTAATTCCATGCTAAAACATTTTGGTCATCTATACGCATGCAACTAAGAAGTAGTAGTATTTATTTATGAAAGGTACTTTACTCACATCTCTCCTAGGAAAGGTACCCAGCAGCTTGTACTCCTCCCAAGGATATCCCTTGGAAGCTACAAAATCAAAGACAACCTGCAGCTTGCTGCTGGCCAGGAAACGTCGCTCAAAGAATTCTCCACTGGGTGTCCGTATACGCAGTTTGCTCACTGACTCAGTGCTCTCCTCTTTTGGTTCTGGAGGCAAAGATTGCTCAAGAGAGAGCCTGATAGCCTGAGGAAGGAAAAATAACCGTTTAGGTTTCAACGTTAACAACAGTGGAACAGAAGAAAAGGAGAGAGGGTTCTTCTGTTTATTTTTCTAGGACTTCCAAGAGGTGTTCTCTGCAGAGCAATAGCTGCACTTTATATTCCAGTGACAAAATCATTTTTATTCATTCCTTAATAGCAGCCCACCAGACAACTAATTAAAATAAATCCTTCTGTATAACACGTATTATTAGGTCTACAGTTAATGCACAATGGGGATAAGTAATTTAATCATTTGGCAGAAAGCCTTGGAAAAATTGGAATGAGAGAATAGTTGTCAAGTGGCCAATTGCTTCCTTAAAAGGTATAAATTAAAGCCAGTAAAAGTATTTCTTTAAATGCACTTATCAAATTGCCCTCCTCTTACACAGAGTAATTGACCATTTGCAGCAAAGAAAAGACCTTTAACGACAGTTTAGAATAAAAACAAATGTATTCAAGAGCTTTACTATAAGCAAACTAAAACGCTGCTAGTAAGGCATTTCATAATTAAAAGTGTCATGAAGGTACACGAGATATATGGTATAGATAAAAGCAGGAACAGTAAAAGAAGGAAGCTAAGAAGATAGACGTGGGAGCTTTAAGATTTAAAAAAAGGAATTACTGTTACTTGAAGGAAGAAGATTCTAAGCACAGGTGTGCACTTTTTCTGCAACAACTTGCATGAAATCAGCCAATATTTAAATGACTAGGCCACAGATGCTAGGAAATATCTGTAACTATGGATCTAAAATGTATATGCTCGTTTTCCTGCTAACATTGTATTGCTTATGTTAAAATTTAAGGGCAGGAGCCAAGTCTGTATTCCCTGTTCTCTGCCTCCAGGAGCTCCTGTAACATTAACACATTGTTCCGAATTTTTTTAGAAAATGATGCCTAATGTTAGATTGCTGAACTAGTTCAGCTTAATTTTCAAGGGTACGGAGTGTTGTCAGTGCTCATGGATAGACACCTGATGGCCCTGAGAATATTCAGTATTTTTAAACAAGTAGAGCATACTTAAAAAGTAGTCTTGTTACTGTACCACCTTACTTTATGCAAACAGTCAATAAGCATCTCAATGGCTGCAATCAGAAGCATGATAGCAATTCCTCAGCAATAATACACTGAAAATAGGATTTTCCAAAGTGAAGAGTCAGCCAGGCACTAATGCACCTACATTTTCAAGGAAATTTCAAGATACACAGTTGCTATGTGTGCCTTTGAAAATCTCCCCAAGGTCATTTAGTAACAGAAACTGATGGAGGATGATTACATTAAAGAGCAAGGAATGGGCAGAAGCAAGATCATGAGGCCCTTTAAATAGTCTGCTTCTTATACACGAACCTCTGAGCAAATTATATCTCAGTATAAATATTTATACATAGAACTTCAGTTCATTTTTGTTCATCTACTATAAGATTATATTTTAAATAGATTCTATTTTAATTTTCTCTCTCTTCTGTTCTCAACCACCTGCTTACTATCTTTCTGTTTTGACATTTCCCCACACAGTATAACAGATGCTACATTATTTACTGAACCCAATCAATTATATTATAGAAAAATAAACAACAGTAGCTCATTAGAGCTCTTTTCTTTGTGCAAAGAATGCCTAGCTCCCCAAAGTAACTAGTCTCCAAGGCTTCAACATAAAATGGCAATTTAAAATGGATATTCTGTACCAGCAAACCAAGGTAGAAAACAATGATGAGATGGATCACATTAATAACTCTTGGATCTGAACAAGCAAGCTGAGTTTTGTTGATAAAAAGATGTTCTGTCACTAGCCAGATTTTAAATATATGAACTGAACATAAAGCCACTTCTGAAAGTAAACATTGTTGCAGAACAATTCAGTAAAAGTAATCTATATACTTGAAAACGGGGAGTGTTAGCAAACATTACTGTTAACATCCCATTTGTTCTACTAAGCAAATAGATCTTATTATTTTCATTACTGCAGTCTCCATTAAAACAGAGAAGCCCAGGTATATTTTGATAATATGGACTAGTTTTGCAGCCTTTGTGTAAGAAAACAATTTCCAAAAGGCCATGGTATTAGAAAAGGTTTAGGGACAAGTATAATAAAGCAGAAGGAATTATTGTTTCTATTCATGCAAAAATACTTAAAAAAAGAAAAACATATTACTTGAATCAGAATGTGAGCGAGCCGATCGCTCCATAGTCCTGTAACTGCCACAATACTGATTTACGTATAATTGCTATTAATCTCACAGAATTGCCATCTTTTAATTATTCTTGACACAATTCTCACAGTCCAGTTCGGTGCTCTTTCAGTTGCATTTTATCTTCCATTCTTGGCTTATATTAGCAACAGGAGCTAAAAGACACTAAAGGCTAATAAGGAAAAAGTGGACTGCCTCTTTTCTCAACCCCTGGATACTACTGTTTTGACTGAATTAAGTTAAGCATCGTTCAAAAGGTTCTAGAATGCTTAGACGCTTCAGGTTTTTTAATGCAATTGTCTTAAGCAATGTATCTGCATATGTATTTGACTATATATTTTATTATATTTTCCTCAGGAAATAAAAAATCTGTTGGTAACCAACTTTTTGCGGTTGTGTAATGTAGTTTTTTCATATATCAGCCAAGTACACAAGACTGAAATGTCAAGTATACCTTTAAGTCACATAGGGAGTGGGGGGAAGGAAGGCTGTGATTTATCAGGATTCCACGAGTTCCAAAGACTTTAGCTAAGTGGAAAATTAAATGAGAATAACATGCAAAATTTCAAAGCTCCATAACAGATAAGAGTCAAAGCAAAGAAGTTATATTAAGTCCACAGAAAAAAAGATAGGAAGTATGATATTTTCTATAAATGAATAAATGTTAGAAAATATTTATGTTTTATTTAGTTTTATATAATACTAGAAACATACTCAGGAAATACACATGTGCAATAGGAATACTGATAGAGCACCATATTAATTAGCAATTTGCTCACAAAATCTTATGTGCCTAGAAATTAGGAGACAAGACCCAGTCAACTCTAATGTCACTCAATAAATTCATATGCTTATATCACTTTTATTTTGAAAATATTATTCAAGGCTTTCTAAGTCCTTTCCACACTGCTGCACGTAACTGCATCAAAGTCTCTTAGAAAATATCTGGCCTGATGTTGTTGCCTTTGTCACGGAGTAGATTTCTGAGGGTCTAAGTATCAGTTCACCAAGGACACCTCTGAACAAAACTGTGGCTGGGGCCTGCAACACTGTCTTTCTCACTGGCAATATTTTTTGGAAATATGGTACGCAAGATCATTCATTCTTTTTACTTCGCTATTACTCCTGGGTTTTTTTCCTCTGAAATTTAATTTGTTAACTTCTTTTGCAATCAACATGAAGAAAACTTGTTTATTCAGAACCAGGTCTTTACGTTACCACTGCAGGAGCATTCGTGAGCTTCAAGCGTTCACTTCTTTTTGAAAGATAGATTTTGATATTTAATGTCTCAGTCAGAGTCCTAGAATGTTTGTTTAAATACAATTTTCATTCTATTTAAAATTTAATGGTACATTTCAAAATGTACCATAAATGCAATTTTCTAGATTTTAGGGCTTTTTTCTTTTTTATTCTCTTCAAAAAAATTTTTAAAATATGTTGTCTTCCAGGTTACATTTGGCAACTTGTTTGATCAGAACTGCAGATAGGCTTTGTGCTTCTTCATAGAAGAAATGAAAAACTTCCGTGGTATTACATTTTTGAAAGCAGTGCCTGCAGAAACAATATTTGAGAATCTGAAAGAGTCTACCATTTACAGAGCTAATTTATTGGGTCTTCTGTTACTAGGCCTATCTAATATCTGGCTATAATTCAGCATTGTGACCCATATGATACAACATAAAAGCTATTAAACTGTAGATAAAAATGATTTAGCTGCACTATATTTTATATATATGGTAAGAAAATAATTTGAAAAATTTAACGTTCACAGAAGAAAGTAAACTCTGAATGAAAGTTGCAATGTGTGCTGAATGAAAATTGCACTTCGTAAGTGCAATCCTAGAAGTTGTCAGAAAAGGTAAAATATCCCACCTCACGTTCTTCCTCCTGTTCTTTCCGAATCTGTTCCAAACGAAACTGTTCTGCTATTTCTCTCTCTTGTGCTTCCCTCTAATAAAGAGAAACAAGCAGTAATCACACATTTTCACCTGCACATTCCACAGCTGTGTTTAATGATATGCATTAGCTATATGAAGGCAAAGAAACTTTTCAACTTTTCTGTTGGCATAGGAACTGTTTGTGACATGTTTACATAATATAAAGCCACGTGAATAAAACCTTCGTATTTCTTATGAAAGCTTGTTAATGGAAACTGTTATCGGAACTCCACTTCTGTCCTTAATATTTCATCACATTAGTATGATTAGTTGCATCTATTTCTAAATTCTCTGAATTTCTATTATGTAAGGACTTCCAGATATGGTTAGACCCAAGGTTCGTGTAGCCTAGGATCCTGTCTGACAATGATTATCAACAGTCACTTAGAAATTAATGCAAGAAATAAGATATTTATTAAATGATCTTTCACTATCACTCCTTTCCCAACTTCTATTATTAAGTACGGCCAGGACTGCTTTAGCAGAACAATGCAGTCAGACCCATTCCTAGTCAATTCATCTAGCGCCGTTTTGTAACCACTTAGTGGAGTTATGGCTCCCTACAGCAACTGGCTCATCTTAAACGCAGAATTGAAGCTGGGTAGTCCTCTGCACAAAGGTGATTTTACCAATTGCGGAGAGACTCATGTCCCGACGTTCACAAAACTACTTCACCATGCACACACCTTTGCTCTATCAGCTTCAAGTGATATGCGGTATGCTTCATCTTGCTCTCTTTTCACATTTTCTCTGGCTTCACGTTCATCCTAAAAAAAATAAAAACAAAAAACAATTTAGCAAACAGTGGACCAGTACTAGATTTATCTTTATGTTCAGCAGCATTCTTTATCCTCAATGACTTCAAAGTATTTGACTGCCTTACTTATCTAACCATTGCTAGGAGAAGTGATCTAAAAAAAAAAAAAAAGCCTAAAGGGAGACCTTAGCTTTAAAAAAATTACAACTTACCTAAGGCTATGGTTCAAGTGCCATACTATGATTTAGCATGTTCCAAGCACTGGTCCATGGGCTGGCTCTGGTACCAAGGCTCATTGCATTCGGCCGCCTGTTTTTATCACAGACACGGAGAAGGGCCGCCCAGGCTATGCAGGCTGTGCTGCCAGCTGAAGGCCTCCTTCCCCACACAGCTGCGCGTGAGGAATCCAACCGCCAGATCCGCAGGGAAGGACAGGCAGACAGCGGAGGTGCACGCGTGGCCCCAGCGCTGGTGGAGAGTCCCAAACAGGGATCTCACTCCTGCAGCTGACAAGATTGGACTGCCTTGTAATATAGAGGGATACACTGTGGTTTGAGGAAGAGGCAGGACTGTAATTTCCTATCTGCTTAGATGGACAGCAGGTAACAGCTTGCCCTAGTAGAGGGCCTGATCCCAGGTCCTTAGTGTGGTAAAAAATACCCTCAATAGGCTCCATCCAGGGTCATCATTATTAAACATTATCCAGAGGCCTGAATTCATGTTGTGATGAATACTATACAGCACGGGATGAGTAACTATATAAGGTGGGAGAGTAACAAGTCCTGCTCCGAAGTGTCTTAAATATAAAGATGCAGGCAGACAAGAAACATGACATTAGTATGCCAACTTCAAGCCAGCAAACCTAGCAAAATATCTCATTAATGATCACAGCACAAAAAAAAAAAAAAAAAAAGAGAGAGGTTTACTAAAAATATGCAAATGACAGAGAGAGGCATCATCCATACAGTGGAGGATGAAGTAGTGGATATCCCTGAAAGCTGGAGTAATTGCATTGACAATACACAAGGTATACAGTCGGTAACTTCATACTCTGCCTCTCTGGAGTCAGTACTATCAGAGAGAGCATCTGCTGCTCTGTGCTTACTCTTCTTACAGCTTATAATCCTCTTAGAGCCTTCCAGAGGCTGCACGGATCTCTGCAAAAATCAGTAAGATTTCACTGCGAGACTGTTGGTGGGCTCAGCACTACCAGCCATAGTGACCAGGAACACAGCTGTTAAGCTGAGGCAATTTCTCCCCTGTATTTTACAGAAATGAAAATCTACTGATTTTTGAAGCATTATATTAAATTTGCCATTTGTCTGCAAATTTTATTCTACATAAAGGAACCATTTTGCAAATTGATCATTTTTCTCCCAGAAACTTCACTATTTGGCAAAAACTCAATTCTAAATTGGAGAAGCAGGAGTTAACTGTTATTATCGTCATGCAAACATGCCAAGATGTTCCTCAAACAAAACTCTAACATATTAGTGGTTAAAGAGTTCTAAATTAGCATGCATCCACAAGAAGAAAGGACAAGTCGCAGGAAATGGTATACAACCTCCAGTTGGAAAGTAACAAGATCTTTTTAGAGGAAACTCTTCTTCCTTATAGAAACAGGACCCAAGATTATTCTACAATCAGTGTGTCCTAAATTTATTCACAGAAGATAGAGAAACCATCACTTTGTTCAGCAGAGCTAAAACATGAATAGAAGTAATTCTTGCAAAATGTAAAAAGGACAATACCCACCGAGTAACCCATTCCCCTCCTGGCTTTGCTAAAACTTCATATGCTATGTCCATGAAATGCCTTCAAAAACTAACTTGAACCGGAAAGCAGAAGCTATCTAAATTAATATTCAATTTCTGAGAGAAAGGGATCTTGAAATAATTAAACAGCTCCAATGTTTATGTTATCCAAAAATGAGGAGAGCCTCTTGAATACACAGACACTTTCCCAACTCTTCTCAGAGATGGAACATAACAGCAGAGGAAAATATTTTGCACCGTCTATACTGAGGCTTTCCATAAGCGTACTGTAAGCTTATCTTCAAATGGTAAGAAACAAAACTTTTTTTCCCAAACCAACTTACTGAAAGGTTTCATGCAACCTGTGAGAGGACAGGCTTTTAAACAAATATTCTGAAGAACTGTTTCGGAGAGAACCTGTTCAACTCTCATGTTTGGCAACTTCATATATCACGTTCTAACTCAATTTCAAAGGTCACACAGAAGTCCAGTAACGCCTCAGAGAAAACTGAAAGATTAGGTGCAACTACTGCAATTACTGGCTCTCTCCTTCACCAAAAGATTGCTAGCAATTAACACGTAGTTACTTTAGTCTAATAAATAAGGATCAAAAAGTGAATAAAAATTTAGAATTTATAAAAACTGTTAAAACTCACTTCACAAATATATACTAAATCAGAGCTATAAGAAATTGAGTACTGACTTATTTTGCATTTTACAAACTGTCTATAAAACTCGAGAAAGATACTAAATATTACTAGTGATAAGAATAGTATTTATTTGCCTATAGAGAGCCTTATTGAATCATTTCTGAAATTGGTTTAAATTATATTATTTGGATGATAACTTCAAAAAATACTGGCACTGTAGATTCTTTTTACAAGTATCTAAGCATGAATTCCAGGCATTTTAAAAACATATTTATTTCTTCCTTATTCATTGCAGTTACTATCCTCCTAAAACTGGATTATGAAAAAGACATCAGGAATGTGAAGAATTACTACGCATGACTGCCTGGTCCTCACAGAAATATGTAAGTCACATCTAAAAGTAGACGACCATGCCAGAGTTTTACACCACATTTAAACAATACTATTCTTATGGAAATGGACCTTAAAAGCAAATTTGTACGTAGACTAGATAGCACTGGAATCTAGACTTCTTTAGCTATGAAGCAGATGTAATCAAATGAAATGTCTCTTTGTACCTGTTTCTGTGGCTTAATTGTTATTACTGCTAGCACTCTGTAGGAATCAGCACACCAATGGTCATTATGGCAAATTTGTAATATTGTCAGAGTTGCACATTAGACAAATTTTCAACATTATATGCTATAATCCTCCTTTTTGTAATGTAGTTTGCTATTTTAGTCATGACTTCCTCTGGAGAAACCATACAAAGTAATGAGGATGACTCAAGCTCACCAGAAAGCAACAAAAGTAAAATGATAATAGTGACAGGAAAAGCAGCAGAAAATATTCTACAAAGAATCTATCATTGCACTAACAAAGAACCCAGGAAGATGATGGACTAGTAATACAACTAATAATTAACTTAACAATAATCTATCATAATTGTTATCCATTTAAAAAAAAAAAAGTAAGGGTAGCTGACAGTTAAACCCTGTTAAACCCTACATATGTTGCAGCATCTACTGAACATCAATAAATGTATTCCCGCAATACTCCTGCAAGGTAAATATTGCCATCTTCCTTTTTCAAGAAACCACAGTATGAATAAAGCGCGTCTTATCCTAGGTCATTTAAAAAAACAACATCAGAAGTTGGCTGAGTTAAACTCAGGCATTTCAGAATTTCACACCATTGACTGAAGGATAGCATGAACGAACGTAAACCATCCAAATCATAGGTTGTGTTGGGCATGGCAAGAAGAGACAGCCCTCCCTTGCTTCTTAAAGGGAAAAGGCTCTTTTAAGAAATTTTAGGTACTAATTTTAGATTTTACTAAAAATGTTTATAAAACAAATAAAATATTTTACATATTATGTACACTTCTACCCGGTTATTTCTTGGTATCATATGAAAAGCAGAAAATGAATCCATTACAAAGGCTGAAAGGAGTGACAAAATTTATAAGGAATTAGAACAGAAGCACGTACGTGTCTTTGTCACATCTGTTCTGAAATGAAGGCAATAGTATAAAGTAGATGAGACTCACCTCTGCTACATTACAGTTTGGCTTCTAGTTTTAACTTTGTCATCTGCGCTATGTCTCACCTGTATTTTTTGTTAAAATAATGGCAGAAGTAAACTCTACTTGTTTACTGCTGGAGATGGTTTGTATAAAAACCTTATATAATACAAAAAATACATTAAATAATAGAATGAAACACAAAATTCAGTATTGATAAGAATCTCATTCATTTGAATCAAGGTTTTTCTACCTTCTTTTGTAAAAGCCAGACGTGCTTATTTTGTATGCAGCAAAAGAATATCCAGGCAATTACGAATGGATTTATATATTTAAAAAAAAAAAAAACAAATAAACCAACATTTAAAAAATGTTCTTTGCTCATACAGGTATCTTTTTTAGGTTGAAATTCTGCCTTTGGATGAGTGCATATTAACTGACTTTAACAAAGCACTAACTCTCATCTGTATCTTGAAGAATATAGCATATAAATGGACAAATAAAGACAGAAAAATGGAATAGGGAAGACGTAGCCTGCAAGCCAAGAGATCAGAGTGATGAGGAGCAAAGACCATTCTTCTGAAAATGTACAATGTGGAAAATAGCGGGAAGGAAGGAGCAAGGAAGGAAGAGTGTAATGCTAGAGGAACAATCTTGGGGAAGAAAGAGCAGAGAGGCTGACATACAGATAATTGGTACCATGAAGGTGAAAAATGGAAAGAGATTAAAGCAAATGGTGGAGCAGAAAGAATTTAAGTCATTAAAAGGAAAAAGGATCCTGTCAGCTCACATGATCTTTCTTCTGTGCTGTCAGCACTCAGCCCACAGGGGAAAGAGATACAGATGCTTATATTTGAAGGAGTCAGTTTGCCATGGTGAATGGGAGCCTGGAAAGCACAGCTAGCGCGCTTAGTCTGTGCTGAGCGCCCACTGAATCTCCATGGGTGCTCTGCAAATCATGCAAGGAGCCTCTCAGTGCCAGTGTTGCCAATTCAGAACGAATAGCTGTCCGCTGTGATAAACTGATGAAAAATAAAAGCAAACTGCAGATGCATAAATAGCTGGATAGGGAGTAAAATGGACAATAAGTCGATGTTCTTAAATG